CGAGGCGTTCAGCTCTCAGGTGGGCAGAAGCAGCGCATTGCAATTGCGAGGGCTATGATCAGGAATCCAACGATTCTTCTACTTGATGAAGCAACCAGCGCATTGGACGCAGAATCAGAACGTGTGGTGCAGGAAGCGCTCGAACGTGTGATGGTGGGACGGACAACGATCAGCATTGCTCATCGCTTATCCACAATCCAGGGCGTTGATGTTATTGCTGTGGTCAAGAATGGCGTTATTGCTGAACAAGGACGGCATGAGGCACTTATGAGCATACCAAATAGTGCTTATGCTTCACTGGTTAATCTTCATATGTCATCCTAATCAAATCAACTAATGTTTTGTTCTGGACAGGTTTTAGCTACTCTTTGAACCTATTCTTTCCTATCCTGCAGCATGATTTCGTCGATATAAAGCATATTTTTTTGTAAGAATTAACTAATCATTGTTCTTTTTTTAATAAAATTTGAGAGAACTAATCAAATTTATCGATTAAAAAAAAAGATTAATCTTAAGATCATAGAATTTGAACAAATAGGATATGAATCAAACCTTGAAGAGGCGATAACAACAAATTATACATTCAATTGTTAACCCCCATAATTATTTCACTCTAATTGAGATAGAATGCAAGCGAATGAGGGACAGAGGTTGAATGGACAAATTGTGAGATGATTTGTCGAACATGCTTGAAGTTACTAGGAACATCGGCTATTCACAAGAAAAATTTTTCTTGATGAGTCCAAAATGCAGAAATTGCCCAATAGAAGTCGCTTCACAAAAATGACAGACCATGGTTGAGAAGGCGCACCAATTGAGCTCAAATTAGAGGCTGCCCAAACATCCACTATCGGCAAAGACGGCCACTTTGCAACTGACTCAAGCAAACATGATGAAAATAATGGGCTACAAACATAAATTGTGCAAATTAGATCCAAACCGCCTCAAAAATTGTTGAAACTAGCAAATTACATCCATTCACAAAATTGAACATACAAGCGAATTTCAAATACCACAATTTCCTAAAAAGAAACCATATTGTCCAAAACCTACA